CCTCATCTGTTGACCAGCAGTAAATGTGATCCCTGGAGCGATTTAGCTGAACAGCCCTGCCTTAGAGGGTTAATATCCGGATCAACGTTATCTCTTTTATTGTAGGTTTAGAAACAAAATGCTTCAAAAGAACTGTTTGTTTTTCAAGCTTAAATCCACAACCAACAATGAAAGCTTACATGAACAGGTTTTTGCTGCTTTTGATTATGTAAAATGAATTATTTTAGCCACAAATKGACTCAGGTTGTAGACACATGTCAAGCTGTGCTGATGAAAGCAGCATACGCATGTAACACATAATCCTGAAATTATAAAAATCTGAACACTAAACTGTAATGAAGTTTAGTTAAACAGTACATAAAATAATACTTTATGAYGGGTTTTATTAGAGGTAAGACGTTGTGAAATGGTGGTGAACAGCAGAAGGAAAGGCTTACCCACACACCGAGGCTGGGGTCCGCTCCACTGGGAGGTGGCCTGACAGGTGAGTGTGGAGTTCCCTTCTAATCTGTAGCCTCGYTCACATCCCACCTGACACACTGCCCTGTAGTGCACACCACCATCGCTGCACCGCAGGAAGCCGTGCTGAGGCCGAGAGAGGGGCGGGCAGGAGCGTACTGAAAAAGACAGAAGACAATAAACACGAAGAATCTAAACCAGCCATATTTATTGTTCTATCAAATCAGATCCATGTCTTGGTTTGTTGTTCCACCTCCGTTTCTTTAGTAAGGTTTTAAGAATTCTGCAACATGGAGCAAACAATCTGTCTCCTATAATATTATGACAGTCATAAAGTCAGGTACTGTGTTTAAATCATAAAAGGTTAAAAAGGGAATGAATAATATTTGCCTATAACTTGGAACCTATCATTTAGCTGAAACTGTGAAAGTCCCTATGAAATAAAAGTGGGGGAAAACTTGATGTGTGTTTTTGTTTTGAGTTTTGCTGATGTCTAGCAGAGGGTGTGTGGCGTGTTATTTCTCATCACCACCCATAGACAGACAGATGAGACCCCCCCCTCCCTCAGGGCCTAACTAACTGGGAGGTCTTACAGTATGTGGTAAAGACAAGAACACATACAAGCAGACATGTGAACACACACTTAGAAAAAATATATACCCCAAACCGCACACTATAAATCTTCAACACACACCCTTTAAATATTCAGTGTCTTGGTATTTCTGAGTCACACTGCTGCTGCCGTTCTGTTAAAACCAGAGTTCTCATTAATCCCTTGACCTCTGAAGCTCCCTCCTGCTTTCTTTCCTTTCAGCTCTCTTAAACTCACAACACGGCTCCTGCTTGGTACAAGCTGTCCTTCTGCAGACCTCTCCATCCTTCACTCTGTTTAATTTAATCATCTCTATTGTTTTTCCTCTCAACATCTGGCCTTGGTCAAAAGAACTACATGGTTTTTACATACATATCACTTTTTTCTTAGCTTCAACTATTATAAAGTTAGCAGAATTTTGAGCAGGAGCTGTGCTGGCACTGTTCAAAGTTTCTTGAGAAATGTTCTAGTATGGGTTGTGGGTCTGTCGTCACGGGACATTCAGTCCTTATAGAACTGGGAGGAGAGTTTGGTTTGCATTGCCGGCAATAAGTCGGAGCCCTTCAGGGTGGGAGTTGATGATATAGATGATGTGGTCCTGTTGGCATCATTGTGTTGTGGTCTTCAGCTCTCAGTGGTGCCGTTCACAGCTGCGTGTGAAGTGGCTGGGAAGAGGATCAGCACCTCCAAATCTGAGTCCGTGGTCCTCAGTCAGAAAAGGGTGGATTGCTCTCTCTGGGTTGGGGGTGAAGCTCTGCCTCAAGTGGAGGAGTTCAAGTATGTGCAATATTCATACCACAAAGGACTGCTTGGAGTGCATTTATTGTTGACCAATGTATTTGAAGAGCTTTGAAGTTGTATATTTGACCAGTAGAACATGGTCTTACGGCAGCAAAAGCTTACACCAGACACAAATGACAAAAATGCTAAAGGTCATATTGAGTAGGAAGTACGGATTAAAAAAAGGAGGGTTGAAAACAAAAAAGAAATTTATAACACCTAATATCATCATTGCAATAGTTACAAATTTTATCGCCATCGCAATATTTTCTAACATCGTGCAGCCCTACTCCTGTACGCCTCCCTAGGGTGGAGATTCAGTCATGAACGACTGTGAGGAGACCCAGAGGAAGACCCAGGACTCACTGGAGAGACTCCTGTCTGGCTTGGGAATGCCTTAGAATTCCCCCAAGAGAGGTGATTGGAGAAAGAGAGTTCTGGGCCTCTCTGATCTAGCTGCTGCCCTTGAGACCTGACTCTGGAACAAGCGGTAGATGGATGGATGGATGGATGGATGGATGGATGGATGGATAGATAAATGGATGGATGGATAGATAAATGGATGGATGGATGGATGGATGGATGGATAGATGGATAGATGGATGGATGGATGTTCTAGTTTTTGTTTTAGTATGAAACAAAAGGTGTGTTCCTCACCTCTGCAGGTTGCCGGTGCTCCTGACCACGTGCTGTCAGCCTGGCAGAGTCTAATGCCAGTTCCATGAAGCTCAAAACCCGGCTGGCATTGCACTCCACAAGCTGCATCAAAGTGGTTGTTGCACACATTCTGGATGAAAAAGCCGTTTTCTGGAGGAGAAAGTGCTGGGCAGTACACCACTGGAAAAAGAGACAAGATTTACAATTAAAAATAAAACACTTTATAAGAGGAAAGCAACACTTATTTAGTTTTAAATTCAAGCACAAAAATTCATTTCAAGAGAAACAAAAAATCTGAGTAAAATCATTACAATATATGGGAATAAAAATAAGAAATCCTGCTCCTAATCTAAAAGATACAATGTCAGGTTTAGACACAGAATCAATTTGTAGGAAAATCCAACTCTTCTAGTGTTAACACTAAAACATTCATGTTACTGAAAAAAAAAAACATGTCAAGCTTCAGTCTTTAATCTACACTGAAAAAGAAAGAAAAAAAGCAGTGTGTGAAAGTGGTGATTATCAGGCATTGTTTTTATAAAAGCAGATGAGTGGAAACTCTCTGGCTCATTCTTCAAACAAAGGAAGGGTTCATTGAAACTCACTGTAARCAGATTTAGAGATAAGAGGCACTTTAATCTCAAACTTCTGTGGAAAAACCCTGTTTGTATTCCAGCTATAACTTCTATCCTCCCAAGTTTTTGTTCTTTGTAACCAAGAAATACAAAATGAAGCTTTTGCATTCTGGTTACCTGTGACATTCACAGGTAACCAGACCACATGTCTACAAGAGCACATGTCTACAAAACATTTGGTCATTTGAATTCAGTTTTGTGTATTCTCTCTGGAATGGGTGCTCCTACTGAGAGCCTTCAGCACAAAGAGAGCAGGAGATCTTTTGGACAGATCCTTGTGTAATAACCATGAGATCAAAACCTGAACACTGTGAAGCTTTGAGGCCAAACATACGCCAACAACCTACAGCTAACTTGATTTTTCTTCTATAAAYGCTGCATTTTGTTTACTGAAAAAGCATCAATAAAGAAACTTCAGACTTTGAGCATCTATTCTACCTACAAAGACTAAATAAAACACACAAAGCTTGTAATTAGAAGTTTTCAACACTATGGTTTTTATTTTTGTAGTCTACAGAAATTTCACCAAAATTACATAATAAATCTACGACTCAGTCTAGATTACAGCAAAAATTGGAAAAAAAATATTTTTTTGAATGAGAGATGCAAACAAGATTTTTTGGTAAGAAAAACATAAAAAAATAGATTTCCAAAACAGGAGTTTTGGTTGATTTGTGTTACCTCAAAATATTAATCTTATACTTCAACTTACTGTTACTTTATGGGCTAAACAACATTTTAAGAAAATAGCACAATTTTTTTCTCATGTGTTTACTTTATCCTGATCTTATCTTAAATGTTGATTGTGTGCTGAAAAGTTTATTAATCAGGGTTCCTACACTTTTACCACAATAAAAATCATGCACTTTTCAAGAATTTTCAAGGTAAATTGTCAAACGTTTCCTGCATCAAACTTTGGAGCGGTCTGTAGTAGCCTACATAAAGTAGCTTCATGGCTCTGCCTGAAGACGCTGCAGGTGGTCTCTACTGCTCACATGTYGGTGTGGAGCAAGGAGCAAACCCACTCTGAGCGGCAGCGAGGCTTTCTGAGACTTCATTAAAGCCAAAATGATTGCTCACTATTTATTTTGTGACTTTAAAATAAAAATATCAGATTGAGGTTTTCAATCAAACTGAGAACAATCTCAATTAGCAAACTGTGCAGTTGGAATGTCAAGAAATTTCCAAATATTGAAAACACTTCAACCATTCAAGCATTTTCAAGAATCTCAAGTACCTGTATGAACCCTGATTATTGAGTGGAAATAGTTCATTATGTCAAAGACAAAAGGAGCTTTAACTGTTTTGGAAGAATTTTGAGCGAAGCACAAAATGTTCTTTTGTATTTTGACATTGTGTCATTCTCACCACTTACAGGCACACAACAGGTGTTTCAGGTTTTTTTTTTTTTAGTTTTGCTTGGAACATATTTTTTTAAACTGAAGAGAAAGTACAGTACGTGTTTGAAAACATTTATGAAGTAGTTTATTCTAAGCCCAAGATAGTTCATGTCATGTGTAGTGTTTGTACTTTTCAGTTATGAGAATCAGTACAACACATAGGGAGCAATACTCCAGTCACTATGATAGAAAGGTTTATAAAGTGTTATTTTCTCTGCAGAATAAATTGTTTTTTWCTTTTTATAAAGCCATATGTGGTTCCCAATGTTTAGAACAGCAGAGCTYGAGTGCCTCCTGAGGATGTCAAAGTAAATCAAAAGCTGCATATATGAGATGATTTGTGTAAGAGAGAGGTTTCTTTTACCCTGACAGGTCATGCCTATTGGCTGATAGCCCGGCTTGCAGACGCAGTCATCGAGGGAGGTGCTGCCAGGCTGGGAGGTGTGCTGTGTGTCSGGACATGACAGGCAGGTGCTCAGTCCTCCAGGTGTAGCCTCTGGTTTATAAGTGCCAGGTGGACAAGCTGTTAAAAACAGAGATGAGCAGAAACAGGGCAGGCTGTCAGAAAACAATCCAAGAATGTTTAAGTTTGAAACACATGTTATGTTTGGCACAAAATTAAAACAAAAAATGAAGCTTGTTGATTGTACAATGGGAGGATTTACATCTATAAAACAACAACACATAAGATTAGAGATTAGAGAGACCTTTAGACTAAAATATAAAACTGAAAAAAAAAGTTTTATAAAACTTATGAGAGGACTTTGATCATATTCATGTCTGGACATGTTGTGAGGKAAATGCTGCAAAATGACCTCATTTACGAAAAAAAAAAATTCACATTTCGCCAGGCAGCTTTAC